GACAGATGCTACAAATGTATCTTGAAAATAATTTATTGTAATGCATACCTTCCATTATGGATCAAGCTCCACTTTAAAGAAGATAAATATGTAATCGTTATCTTTTTAACTTGTTTTTTTAACTTGTTATATTCTAGAATCAATGCAATTTTTATTCAACAGAGAGGAAAACGTTTTATTGAGAATTACAAAACGTTCAATAAAACTCTGTTTGACGGTAAAGAACGTCCTAACCTTCGCGAAAACGAGCCGAAAGATGAAAATGCTTTCGATGGAGAACTTGATCACAGGACAGAGATTGAAGATTTATTTAAATGGCTGTTTATGTCAATTAACAAGTAAGTTGTAACAAGTTCTTAGAGTGTCACGTTTATAAATTATGTAACGGTAAATAAACAAATACATGTACATAATATTCAGATAAGGCAGTTAGAAATGACATATACCTTAGGAGCATACTTTAAAGTTACTTAGAAATAAATTTGTACCTAATAATACCTCTATCCATAATTACCTGTACTGCAAACGTATATTTTCATTATTTTCACTTACACTGTCGATTGTATTTCACCCTACTGTGTGTGATTAATCCTTAGTCACGCCTACCCCGCACCCACCTCCCCCAAAAGTAATAAAATTAAAATATCCTACCCGTCAGCCAGCTCAGTCGGACTTCCATTAAATATATGCAGGCCCTTTGATCAACCGGTCATGTGCATTCCAGAAGGTTTTTAGTGTTTTTAGTAAATTTATGAATACGTTTAAAAGTAAATAGAACATTATTTATTAGATTTTTATCATTTTTTTACAAATGACAATCCTGCTGGTGGTAGTACAAATTTGATAAATCGCATGCCAAGAGTTATCCCAAGTTGATTCTGATTGACAGACATATTTCTAACCACTTTATTTTTTATGAAGAAAATATTGCACGAAGCATTGTGCCATTGCGTTTAGATGGATACTATCTTAAATGCAAGGCGTGAAATGCCAATAAGCCAAGTCCATAAGACATAAAATATAATTTCAGCGGTATTTATACATGTACAATATAATGTTTTTGTTTCCAGAAGGGACAGAGCTGAACTAGGCCATAATATAACAGACATGCTGATCAGCTGTACGTTTAATGGAAGGATGTGCTCTTCAAAGTAAGACCTTTTATCTGTTAAAGCAAATATCCCCTCTACTTACCCCATTCTTGCCTATTTTGGCAAGATATTATTCCAAACTCTTTACGTTAAAGCTCCAACAACCAAAATCAATGCTGCTTCTATGCGCTCTTACAAATGTCTGTAAAGAAACGAGTTGTTACTTGGGTATGGGATAAATAGAATATCATATTCTTTATTATTTGCTCGAATAGTTATATATTTAACAAGATGTATAAAATAATATTATGCCCGCCAGAGGCTTGCATTCTATGATTTTATTCAACTCGTTCAATAAAAATCAGTATTGAACTTACACATATTCAGTATCCTCTACATTCAAAACGTTAAGTTATATCAAATTAATAGTATAAATTCTATCATTTAATTATTGCAGTATGTTCACCTTACATCAGACGACAGAATATGGTAATTGCTGGTCAATCAGTTCTGACAAATTTAAAGTGAAACACCCAGGACCATCTGGAGGTATACCTTTTACAAAAAAAAGAATTTTCATCTTCTTTAAAAAAAAATTGCTTATATTTTTTACTTAGTAATAATCATTGTTTTATTTTGTCAAAGATTACTTTTCTACTATTTACAGATATGAAAAGTTGTGTAGGCTCTACTATTTGAAGCATTAACCTTACTCATCCGCTAGTGGGATTCGGTGCTATATTTGTATAAATTTCACATGCATCTTCATACATAGAGGATATTCAAGTTTTTTCTATAAATACATGATTTATTTTCATCGAGTGGTATGAAAATAAAATAAATATTTCATGAGTGGCGGTAGCCACGAGTGAAATATGGTAAATTTCATGCCACAAGATGAAAATAAATCATGTATGTATAGAAAAAAACTTGAATTTTCTGTTTATTATATACATTTTTCTCTTTCTGGACATTAGATTTTAAAAGACTTTCACTTAAATTTTGAGTACTGGCAGAATTTAAAAGAAAGTAGTCCGGCAAGACACCAGTGAAAATACGGAAAATATGTTTCACTGCAGTGAAAAATAAATTTTTACAGTGAAAATACGGAAAATGAAAATACGCATTTTATTTCATCAATATTTCTCAATGTTTCATTTAAACGTATATAATAAATATAAGTTATCAAACACTGTAGGTGTTTTATTTTCATTGTCCAAGGGCCATAACTCACATGGATTGTGACTGAATCATCACGATTATTTACATTTTGTTACTAAAGAGGTATGTTACTCCGAAGGTTCCATAATACTGTCATAGATTTTGATTGTTTTACAGTCCTATGCAAGTCAAATATAAACTTAGAAAATTCCAAGGCAAGACCAATCCTCACAAATACTTATAAAATATAAAAGGAAGCTGTGGAATTTATATAAGCGTATTTACCGTTATTTTCAGGACTTACAATGAAGTTTTATCTTGAAACTGAGGAGTATTTAAAAGGTCTGACGACAGGATATGGTGCTAGAATTCAGATACATGAGCAACGTACATATCCTTTCCCAACAGAAGAAGGGCTGTTTATTCCAGCTTCCATGGAGACCGATATTGGTCTCAGAATGGTAAATTTGTTCACATGTTAAAATCTTTTTATGATATCCCTCCTACGTGTATGAACTGAAAAAATAAATACTTGTCCTTTTGGAAAAGCATTTAGTTTTTGATGAAGTGGCACTAAGTGATAATACACATTAAAAAGCACATAATGCGTCATTGTTTTTTTTTCAATTCTTTACAAATGTCAAAACATGTGTTTAATAATGTTCTAATAATTGATTACAAGCATGTAGGATGAAAGCAGCGCACCTTGTTTTTGCCAATTACATGTACTACAAGTAGAGATTTTGATGCTAAAGCATCAAGTCGCCGGATAGAAATATGATTGTATTATCATAAATAAAAGAAAATGTCAGTTTAATGGTTCTAGTATAAAGAAAAGAGGAACAATAAGTTGAGTAATGTTTATTCATAAACACGTTTTCATTTACTTGCCACAATTATATCTTTCTTGCTGAGAGTTTTATGCAAAAAATTATGTTATGTTATAATGAAACATCATATTTGAAGCAAACTTGCTTAGCAATTTTGTCAAGAAACTGTTATCATTATTAAATAAGCAAGTATTGTTTGGCAATATTTACCCGAGACTCAATAATGTTTCGTTTGCTTACTTAACTTATTATGATTAATGTTAACGATTTTATTGTAAGTATAATTACATGTATAATTATATCAATTAATACTGCTCGATGGCCTAGTGGTAAGTATGACGAAGTTGTAGTCAAATGTCAAACATGTACGGTCAAATTTTGCAAAATACAAAAAGTATTATAAAAGAAAACATAAAAAATCACTTTATCGAACCTACAGTCTTCAATTTGAAACTAACTTAAAATCTACCACCTTGTCATCGAGGCTTGTAAAGCATGTGATATGATTATAATTCTATTTGTAATTCTACTTTATACATATACCGTTGTACGTATGATTTTCTTCAGCATCCGATAATTACCGACAAATTATTACCGATCATCGGATATTTGCAAAGTGACTATGAAAATATATATGCTTAATTATTGCATAAAACAATGCAATTCTACAGTAAAAGTGGTGTCTGCATAAACAAATTATTCTTATGCACTATCGAAAAAATATATTATTTAGCTGAAATCAATATTCATGTCGTTACATACGATAAAGTTTATCTTTAATTGCCTTTCAGTGCGATAAACTATCAACACAAAGATGGTTTATTAGTTTTCTCTGTGTATCCAATACGATTCCGACCCCTACTGTCATACCGAGATTTTTCATACAAACTTACTTTGATTTGCACTTTATCAGCTGCCAATTATTCACATGTTACCTGTATGTCTATCTTATCAGCCATTTGTTACTATTAATAGATTTCATAACAATGTGTAGTCACGTGATTCTGGGAGAAACTGATTATGATAAATAAGATAAAAAATAGAATTGGTCTCATAAGATACAAACAACCAGATAATTTAAAAGTGTCATTTCAAATATGCATGATTTATTTATCATAAAATAGCAACGCTTGACACTTTATAAAAAGTAAAAGCACCCCTAAATTCAATGACTGGTCCATAGGGATACGTCATTTATTCATTTTATAAAAATTGTAATGTTGCTTTTTACGATGTCAGTATTTGAATATTTCAATTTATTTAGCAACATTATTGTATGTTTGAATTTTTGAGATTACTGAAAACAATTGTAGTCTTTAATTGTTCAGTAATTGTTATGCTTTTATATACAGAAATTAATGCCTTCTCCTACCATAGGTATAATATTAAACTGTTACAAATATAGTCGCCGGTTTCTACCGGCGACTAATAAAAGCTGATACATTATTTTGTTTTTGAACAGAGATCAATTTCAAGAGAAAATGGATTATATGGAAACTGTAATAACGGACTGCAGCTGGAGAAATCTACACGGTATAAATATACTAGATCGGTAAGTATAGGATAATATTTGATCAGTCATCAAGCTTTTTAGACCAAACGCTCGACAGCAAATGTAACATCTCGTTTATTATTGACAATAACCTCAGACTTAATACGGAAGTACGAAAGTAGTTACACAATGTGTTTTAAAATGTAAACAAAACATTGCAATTTGCTTTACGGTGTAAATGTATATTTTTGACATCCAATGGTAAGTAATAGAAACAGCATCGAAACACGAGGTTATCTGATTTGTACGAGGGGGCGTAGGCCCCCGAGTATTAATCAGAATGCCGAGTGATTTAGCTCGACTATACGAAGTATATGGAGAGCTGTCCTACTCGCCCCGGCGTCGGCGTCCGCGTCCAGATTTCAGATTAAAGTTTTGGTGCTGTAAAATATTTTTCACTATAACTTTGTCATTTCTTAAGGTATCAACTTCAAACTTCAAATATATGTTCCTTATCATCAACCACATCTTATGTGACAAGGTTCATAACTCTTGAAGCAATATTTTCAAATTTATCTCCCCTTGAACTTAGAATTTTCCTTCAAAAATACTATTTTTTACTGTTACTTCTTTATTTCGTAAGGGATCAACCTCATACTTCAAATATATGTACCTTATCATCTTCCCCATCTTATGTGACAAGGTTCATAACTCTAGCACCAATATTTTCAGATTTATCTCCCCTTGAACTTAGAATTTTTCTCAAAAAGTACTATTTCTTACTGTTTCTTCTTTATTTCTTAAGGTATCAACCTCCTACTTCAAATATATTTACGTTATCATCATCCCCATCTTATGTGACAAGTTTCATAACTCTAGCACCAATATTTTCAGATTTATCTCCCTTTGAACTTAGAATTTTCCATAAAAAATATTATTTTTGACTTTACTTATTTATTTCTAAACAGATCAACTTCATACTTCAAATATATAATTTACGTTATCATCATCCACATCTTATGTGACAAGGTTCATAACTCTAGCACCAATATTGCAAGAATTATCTCCCCATAAACTTAGATTTTTTTACTAGAAAAATGTTATTTTATATTATAACTTTTTTATTTTTAAAGGTATCTACCACAAACTTCAAATACTTATTCATTATCATCAATTACATTTTATGTGGCAATGTTCATAACTCTTGAAGCAATATTTACACATTTATCTCTCTTTGGACTTAGGATTTTCTTTAAGAAATATAATAACTTCTTTACTTTTTAAGGTATCTACTTCAAACTTCAAATATATATTTCTTATCATTACTCAAATGTTGTGTGACAAGGTCCATAACTCTAGCATTATTTCTAGAATTATTCCCCTTGATCTTGGAATTTATGTTAACAAATATTATTTTTTACTATAACTTAATACATAGTTATACATAATTGATTTTTCTTTCATAGTTTTGTCCTCCTTACTGCGTCCAGTATTTCATTAGTCGAGCTTCGCTGTCTCATGTGACAGCTCTTGTTGTATTTGCAGTTAGATTTCTTTATCGAACAAAATTCTGTACATTTTCATGACGAACGTTTGAACGAGTTATTTTAAAATTTGTTTTTCTAAATTGATCCAAAATTACGGGTATTTCAGGCATGCCAGTACCTTTGTTTGACTGATGAAATAATTGACAAATGCGGCTGCTTTGATGAAAAGTTGGAGGAAATGGCGATAAGTAGAAATGATGAGCTCCGATCATGTCGAAGTCAAACAGGCAAGTTTATTTAAAATCTATTGATATCCTATTCATATGGGGTCCTAAACCAAATTGTATTCAATGATAAAATACTTTGCACTTTAAAATATTTTAAAGTAAATTTGTCACTTTATATAGAACGTTTGTAATACCATGATATATATTTACATATATGTTAAAAGTATTTAGTATCATTCATGGCAACACATCCCGAAAACAATATATTTAGATATTGTTGGTCAGTGTGAGATACGAGTCGAACATGATTTATTATACATAACTATACATGTGCATGTACAAAAAAGATAATAAACTATTTTAGAACCAAACAAAAAATTACATGTATAACTGTTCACACTATATCACTTACATCTTTCATTGCTTTTTCTTAAGTAATATTTTACTACAACATCTAAATAATATAAGGCTCTTTTTTGGGGTTTTCTTATCAATTTTTGTATAAAATCATGGTAAAATGTTCACATTGTAGACCAATCCACTTTAACAATAGATAAATATTTTAAGTGATTATTTCGTTTTTATTGCAGAGGTAAAGTGTATGGCAAAATTAAAACAAGACTTTGTTGAAAATGAAGTTGTATGTACATGTTTCAATCCTTGCAGGTAAGTTTCAAAATAATGTTTAAATCATTTTTAATACAATATTATCAAATAATGAACTCAGTTATTTCTATGAAGAACTTTGCTTTATTTATATTTCTTTTTCGATTATAGAGGACAATCAGGAATGTTTCTAGTTACAAGTTTGTTGTAAAGAAATATTAGAAATACAAGATGACTTACTTTTTCAAATGTCAGCGCATATACAGTAGAGTTACAATTGATTATGAATTCCTTAGAATCCCGAAATAGCGGTAACTATCACCCCACTACCCCGGAGGTGGGGGCCGCGATAATTAAAATATTGACTGGTGCTTGTGTTTCACGTTAACATTTGTACTCTTCACCATTCAAAACCATTTCATTTACAAATCTTAGCAAAATCGGTGAAATATTTATTGATACTAGATATACATGTAATAACAAATACATGTGCATATAGGCAATTAAACGAACACTGTGATCTTTACTTTTATTTAAATTGCTTTGCATTACACGAAGCAATTATAAATTATTTGCTTGCTTCTGTTTGGATAGTTTTATAACAACAACAACAACACCATCACCGCAAACAACAACAACAACAACAACAACAACAAAAATAAATAAATGAATAAATAAATATAACAACATTGATACATAAACAAACACACAATGTTTAATGATTTCTCTTTTAATGTTTACAGCGAAGTTCAATATGTCAAAAGTGTTAGTCAGAGACAGTGGCCAGACGACGAGTATGCGGTAAGTCATAATTTTACCACGGAACCCTTTAATGAAATGAAATAGATAAATAGCTCGAAGGGATTGTTAATTTTTCTCCAGTCCCAATGGGGATAGATGGTGGCTCTAGGTCAAGGCCACCCTTGAAGGTCACATGTGATATTTTTGTGTTGGCATTACACATCCATTATCCCCTGAAGACTTATCATCAAATTTGTCTTGAAATATCAACATTGACAATTTGATGTGCAGAACTCATATACCGCCTCAAGGTCAAGGTCACACTTGAACGTCAAATTACGCTCTATTAGTCCTAAATTCCTTTAAGGATTCCCTTCAAACTTGGCCCAAATGTTCACAAGGTGTTGGTACTGCCGCGACTGTGCTAAGTCCAGGTCGAGGTCATAAATGAAATTCAAATGTCCGGTTGTGTGTCAGCACAATAAATTCTTTGCTCCTTTAAACTGAGAGCAAATGTAAATCTTCAAAAATACATAATGATAACTGGACATCTAAAAAAAATCTTGCCTTATAGAGATTTTACGGTACTCCTCACTCCTGTGGCAGGTTTAGTTTCAGTTTGAAACAAAAGGAAAAAAAGGTGGTACCAACTTTTACGTTATACGTCGTGCACGATGTCACTAATACGCTCACTTTCCATTAACTCATTAAAACTCGGCATAATCCGCCACTTTCCGTAAGCATCGGCAGACACTAATGTTAAAGTAGATATCAGATGGAAAGGGTACCTAATGAAGTTGATTTGGACAGGTCATAAAAAACTCTTAATGACTATGTGATATTTTTTTCAGATGATATTACTGCAAGGAATCTGCGACAAAGACCCGGATGAATGCGTATTATTGAGAACATTTGTTGATGATCCAGTCAAAATGAAGTAAATAACTTTTTTTATTTGATGATATAATTATTCATGGGTATGTTTAAAAAGACATTTTTTTCCTAAATCATTTGCAAAATATCATTTTTTTTAAGTTAGACTTGCATTTTGGAAGTGTCTTTATGATTATATATGTACATATTTCTATTTCAGTAAAAACTTCTTGAAGCTTAATATATATTATGAAGATCTGAACTACGAGAATCTCACAGAAGTTCCAGAAATAGAGGTAATGATATTGCTTTTTACATATGACGTAGCAACTGCATAATAATTAGGGTTAGGATTAAGGATAACGTATCACATTAGTTCCTTAGATTTGTGATGTCATTACTATAGAAACGCATCTTAAATCTTTGTGTAAAACCAATACGTTACATTCGATATGGTTTTTATTTTCAAACAATGATTTAGGCTATAACTAAAAACTTCACAGATATTGTTTTCTAAATGTTTCCATAGCCGATAATGAACTATTGTCTGGCCGTTGATATATTTTGATCGAGGCATCAGATCTACAATTCGTAAGCGTTCAGCATTATTATAAAGCAGCTAAAGTGCTAATATTGTATCTCCAGATAAATACGTAGGTTTACTTTTTTACAGCGTTGTTATATTTTTCTGGTCCTTCGGGATTATTGATTCCAGCACTTTAAGTCTTGAAAATTAAGTACCGCTCAAGCCGGTGACAAGGGGGCATGAGGGATGTCACACTTTTTCATTATACCTCAAGTATACTGAATCAAACCGAATCTGTAATTTTCATGTTATTTTGTTGTGAATAATGCTTCTGAGGGATCACTCTTTTTCCAGGGTTTTTACTTATAGGCACATTAATTCTAAACAAATTAATTTATTCTTTAAAAGGAGGACATGTGTCAAATCATGTTTTGATATCGGATTCAAAGCATATTGGATGATCTTCATCAGGGAAAGAAGTGCGGACTGAAAATATTTTGGTCATAAAAGTACCAAAATATAAATAAATGGGCTTTTGATAAGATACTAGGATATTACATTTTACCATTTGCGGTGCTCAACATCGCCGAGCTGTATATTATACATAGTACATTGTATGTTTGTTGTAAACTTTGTAAGTGCCATTTTACTTTCAGGTTCAGCAGTTTCTTTCTGACGTGGGCGGAGCTATTGGTTTATGGATAGGTCTGTCAATATTGAGCCTTTGTGAACTTGTTCAACTATTTGTTGAGTTATGTGATTATGGTATACATAAAACAATTAAGGAAAAAAGAAAAGGAAGAAGACAACGTCGAAAAGGTCAAAGAAACCTTGCCAATGGTATTTCCAAACATCGAAATGACTGGTCAGGGTACAATTTTGACCCCGACACAATAATACCTCCAGTCGATTTGCCAAAAATACAGGGAACCGATAGCTCTAAAGAATATTCGTACACCGGAAGTGACGTCATGTATGAACGCCCGCGTAGACAAATTGATAACAAACCACAGTACTCCTATTTAAGGCACTGATGATATGGTATCTGAGTGTTCCACATCTTTGTCAATGATAGTGTAGTTCTATTTGAATGCACATCTGAATATACTTTTATAGTTAATTTGAAGGAAAAGTTGGATCGTGTGTATACATTTTTAAAAAGGAAACATAAATCAAGTATTAACATTTTACACGTCAAAATCTTAAAAGCCACTTTTGTTCTTAGTAATATATGTTGTTAATACAATTTTGTACATAATCTTATCTGAGCAAATGGCAAAATATTTTATCGTCATACTACTTTTAAATGTTACTTTGTTTTATCTATAAATTGTTCTATACCGAAATGTTGTTAGTTGTTTGTTTTGTGTGAATATTGGCGTCATATTTTCATAAAAAATGTATCTAGAAACCATATTTTGTGAGAGCTTAAAATTTTGTTGCATGCAACAACAATCGTCGTAGCCTTGCTTTTCAACTTGTTTTGTTTTAAACATTATTATTTCCCGAATTTATACTAGAATACATATAACCATATACAATTATACATATAAACATTTATAATGCAAATCAAATCATAATTATATTTAAATTAAAACGAAAGACAGTCTTATAAAATTATTGTCAGTTTAGTTTATTTATTTCGACTTTTGTACTGATTGGATACCGGGCTATTTAAAAGAAAGTCGGGGAAATAAATTAAATATATATAAGAGATATGAATGTGTTAGATAGATAAAAAGAATGTATCAATATGTACGAGTACATGTATTGTTTACACGGAAAGTTGAAGACAAAAATAAGTAAGCAAATCAAGGTACACTAAGGAGTAAAAAGATAAGAAAAAAATATAATGGTTAATCATAATACACTATCTTTGATTTGGTTTTAGTATGGTTAAAATATCAGAAAATTTTGTAACAAAAGTTCCATGTAAATATGAAACAGTAAAGCAGTGATTCTAAACACCCCTTGTCAACGATTTGTACAGAACTCCAAACACAACTGCTGATTGAACAATAATTTTTATCCAGTATAAATCCATTTTATCAAGTATAAGATACATTATGATTGATGATTATTAATCTAATCCATAAAACATCATATGAGCCGCGCCACGACAAAACCAACAAAATGGGTTCGCGACCAGCATGGATTCAGACCAGCCTGCGCATCCGAGCAGTCTGATCAGTATCAATGCTTTTCGCTTACAAACCCTATTACAAGCAGAGAAACTGATAGCGAACAGCATGGATCCTGATCAGACTGCGTTGGTTTTATGTTGGTTTTGTCATGGCGCGGTTCATATTAGTACGTGTCTATTAGTTGAAAACCTGACAAGAGATAAATTAATATAAACGTTTATAGTCTTGAAAAGACTTAGACGTAAAACTATAAAGGAAAACTTATATATCTTATAATACTAGCAGTTTTAAAAAACTTAAATCTCTCAAAAAAAATCAATTTTTATCAAAGCAATTGATAACTTTCTATATATTACTGAAAGCTCCTTTTCTTCTGTTTTACTAAATAGCATCGAACTGTCGCGTAAGCATGAAATGATTTTGTCCGTAAACTGACCGTGTTACCCATGTTAATCGTTTAAGAATTTTTTAAGGTTAGTTATAAGAAAAATATACTCATTACAATCATTTTCAATGATGTTGTCGTCTCGATCAAGCTGTTAATTAATGATTTTTGCCTAAGGTCACTGATTGCTATGCCAGTTTAATCATGTATATTAATGACTTCATTTTGACCAATTAAGGTTGAATCATTAAGTTTTGACAGAAAATGCAGAAAGTTGTTAAATTAAGCCATATAATCTTCACGGGAATGTAAAATCACGGTCGTTTATCGTACAAGACAGTGAGTCGTTAAATGCAGTGACTTTAAATAAAAATTGACATTGAGCGGTTTTATCTTAACAAGGATTATGTGTGGTATGAAGTCGTTAAATCCAGTGACTTATCCAGGCAAGTTCGACTGTATTTTGAAATTCGAAAAATATTTTTTTTTGTTAATGTCATAAACAGTTTGAAATAATTCTACGTCGTCTGCATTTTATTATGAACTAAAAGAACTTACTATTTAAGTTTTGTTTAGAGTTTAGTACAAATAAGAATCTGTTGCCAGTTGGCAATTTATGGTCCCTGCAAAAACATATTAGCTAAAAAAATACTTATTAAAGATAATTATATACTGAATAGTACTTCCTGGGTAAAAAGATGTGTACTCATCTGCTTTGATAAAAAATATTTTCTAAAAAATTGCAACATTAATTTAACAGAAGACAGAACACATTTAGCACGCTTATGTTATATAAACTATGTTTTACCTCAGGCAGTTTGAAAAATTTATTATACTACATAAATACTGTATGAAAGTTATATCATTTCTTTAGAATTACGCAATCATATTGTGATGTCCCTCAACGGCAATGTCTGTGGCGTGTTTTCTGTTTAAAGGTGGGACTTTAAGTATTCATGGAGTCTTGCTAAAACATCTTTAAGGTAAAAAAGAAAATTAAGTAATGGAAGAAATGAAAGGAGTTAAATTTTACCGGGGGCGTACGAGTGATAGTTCTCTACCACGGAGTAATTGTGAAAGATACAACGAAATCGGAGGAATAAACTCACCCATAGATAATCGCACCAAGATAAATGATTATCATTTTTACACTGGTTCCAATTTCGACAATTCAAGTGTCATGCAAGAAGATGCTGGAAAGAAATCAGCGCACAAAGTAAGTTGATAAATAAATAGGAAGAAATCAGCACGAAAAATAAGGTAATCAACCAATAAATAAATAAATGAATAAATAAATAATATTTCTCATATTAATATTTATTTTGTTTCTTCACGGTCAAGTAGCTTATATACATGTACATAAATGGAAAATATGTATCATCGCCTGTGTAATGACACATGTGCTCTAGGACGTCAGCCTTCATAATTTTTATCGTGTTATATAAAAAGGTCATTCCAGTTGATACGACGTAAACGTAAAATCATGCTCAAATGGTTCCGTTTAATGTTTTTATACGTTATACTGCAGACGGAAGTTTTATATCTGAAAAGAATGCGTAAAGAGTTTTCAGAAGATATATCTATCTGTTATCCTCATTATTTTTCAAAAGACTACCACTTTAATTATAAGTATACCTAATGAATTAGAACAGACATTTTATTAAATTGTTTTATCCCAATAAAAAAACTGAAATTTCAACTTCTTACAAGTTGTAATGAATTCGATTTCCACCCTTGCATAATGCGCATTGCCTTTACAAATGGCATTATTCTGGTTTATATCTTTCTAATATACAAACAGTCTGTTTGTCATGCAGATATAACAAATATTTTGTATTATATTATTTCGACAAGACTTTAAAATAACAATTCTCTTTATAACTGTCCGAAATGTAGGTACAATAATTATTTTATAGTTTTAATTAATTAAATAATGGACAGGAGTTGCTTGATGTTAAACAATTCTTTTTCTAGGATTCGAAATTCAACTTTTCGTTATACATTGATAGAACAATTAAACGTCTCGGCCCTTTCCACATGTAGCAGGAATACACCGACTGGATACGTATTGCATTTTGGTTTAAAAAATTATATGGAAACAAATAATTAGCAATGGCTTCAAATGTTAAAGTATTGAATAACTTTATTTTATGCTTAAAACCGATTAAATGATGTAAATTAAAAAATATAAGTAAAGGTAAAATGCTGATTGCTGTGTTGTTGTTGTTGTTTTTTTAACACACAAAAAAAGTTGACATATTTTAAGACTAATTATCTTTTATTCAGTGGCATATTTTATTATTGATCGTGTTAATCATTCAGACCATAAACTCGTATTTTATCGCATTAACACTTAGTTATCTTTTTTGCAATGCTTACGAAAATAGGATGTTAAGATCATATGAAATTAATTTACTTCATAGGAAAAATATATCATAGTCCTAACAAACCTTTATTTTTTGTACAGGATGTACAAAACCAGTCCAAAGACTTCGGGAATACTTCTGGCAGCATAAAGTCATTTGATTCTACTGAGAAACAGAAAAGTTTTCGGCGTCTTATTATCAGGTTCGCCGAGAAAACATCGATGACAGGCGTCCCTTACATCAATAATGCAAAGTTTTGGTGGGCAAGATTAATTTGGTGTTTTATGTTGCTTGCTGCAATTGCCGCAATGTCTTTGCACCTTTGGTATCTGATTGACCAATACACAGACTATCCTGTGCAGACAAAAATTTCATTGGGATTCCAGACTCTTGATTTTCCTGAGGTTACTTTATGTAACGTTAATATCCTAAACAGACGTCGTTTGGACGACTACAATAAGGCTGAAAAACTAAAGGAACTTCTTGATGAATTACACCCTGAAAACCTTGTACCAAATCAGTATCTTCGAAACAATGTTTCATACGCCTCAAAAAGTCCATCTACAAGGGAACAACAAGGCGATGCTTACCTAGGACTGGCTAGCCAACTTCCGAGCGAATCAAGTTCTCAAGGGGGTCAACAAAGCGTTAGTATTTCTGGTCCGCATTAACCACTTATTGTAGAATAGTTATGTTTTTACAATTATATTCTACAAAACTTTATTTTTCATGTTTTACAATTTGTTATGTTCGATAAAATCACTTATGAAAGCAATGTTTAACATTAAACGGAATTGTTTCAAGAAATAAGACCTTAACGGCAATTGTAAATGAAATGTTTTGTTTTGCGTTTTCTGTCCATCTTTGTCGAGCCTTTTTAAGTATTTTAAACAGTTCAGTCCTACGCATAAACCCAATATTTCCAGTTTTCCCCCAAAATTTGCTATCTCTGGCCAGTGATGAGCATTTCATTATAATTACATGGCTTGTCACAGTATTACTGATAGCAGCACCCTAGAATGTTTTATGATCCTATCATGTTTCAAGAATGTATAGTTTAAGCTGTAGGATATAGAGAACATTTCAGAACATTCAATTTTTAATAAGAGTTAAAGACTAAAAAGATTGGATTACTTTAAAACACTTACAACTCACAATCACAGGGACTCGGTTCCGTGTTGGGATAGTGTAGGGTAATAATTAATTTTAGAGAAAAAACAATTTATATGTATTTTTTTCTAAAATTGCTTTTTACACTACCCCAACACTGTGCCGAGTCCCTGTGATCACAACAAAAATACTAATGTAAATTACTTTCATTCAATTTGGTAGAAAAAAAATCTCTGAATGTGAAAAAAAAATGTAAAAAAGGTAGCAAAATGTAAACAAAGTAGTATTTTGACTTCCGTACAAAATACTAAATCACTTTAACTATACCAATTGCAATAAAGCAGAAAATAGTAAAACATTGATGACCTTTAAATTATAGTAAAGTTATAAGTTCAAAGAGAAAATATCTCTTGAAATAAAGATGCTAGAGTTATAAATCTATTCGCACCTGATATAAGTGTTAAGAAACATATTTTGAAGTGCAAAAAAATATCAATATGCAAAATAATATATAAACAAGAGCTGTCACAGAACGTGACAAATGCCTCAAAGGATTCTAGTTATAAACCACCTATTACATGTTAAGTGTGGTGGTAAAAATTGACATAGGTCGAACCCCAGCAGTGACCTTTAAGTTAGACAAAGAAACCTGGGTTAAGTTCACAACACATTGTCCATTTATGGTGACTTAATATATTTTGACTTATTTAGGACCACCACCTTCTATATTTATTTAACATAAAAAATGACAAAGTTTGAACCCCACAGTGACCTTGACCTTAGTCGTAGGAACCGAAGTCATGTTCGCAACTCACCATACCTCTATGGTTATTTCATATATGAAAGAAAAATTAAAATACTTTCATGCATACTGAAGTTTCAGAGCGGACACTACCTCCACTGTCTATATGCCTGATGGACTGACAGACAGACAGACGGATGGTTCGATTTTAATATGCCACCCTTCAGGGGCATAAAAACATCTAAATTCAAAGGGGAAATAATTCTGGAAATATTCATGCCAGAGTTATGATTCTTGTCACACATGTATAAGGAACATATATTTTTAAGTTAGAAGTAGATACCTTAAGAAATAAAGAAGTAAGTAAAAAGGTAACATTTTTTAAGAAAAAAAATGAGTTCATGAGAAGATAATTCTGGAAAAATATTGGTGCTAGAGTTAACAGCATTGTCACATATGATGTAGTTGATGGTAAGGAACATATATTTGAGTTTTAAGTCAATCCCTTATTATGAAATAGAAAGAGAAAAAAATAACATTATTTTATGGAAAATTATATGTTCAAGGGGATATACATGTAGTTCTGGAAATACTGGTTTTTGAGCTTTACACCTTATCACATGATGTGTATGATCATAAGGAATACATGTGTACATATAAGGAAAATATTAATGACCCCTCGGGGCGGGGCCAGTTTTTACCCCAGGGCTTTGATCTGAACAAACTTGATAGACACTCAGTATAAGATGTTTCATGCCAAATATCTAAGCTCTAGCTCTTTGGATTTTTTAAAAGAACATTTTATAAGTTTTTTTTCGGTTGCTATGGCAACCAAAGTTCTGCATAGAATTTTATTCTTTGAACATCTTTGGTAGAGCCTTATGCAAGGAACACTCCTGCAAAGTTTCAACAAATTTGGCTTAGTGGTTTAGGAGTAGAAGTCTTTTAAAGAAATTTTTGACGCACGGACATTGTCCTCAGATGAGCTAATAAAATAGTAAGAGATAAAATGTTTACTGCATATAAGCATTAATTTAAAGTATGTACGCTGGCGCTGGCTTACAAGCCGAGGTGAGTAGGACAGCTCTCCATATATTTTATATAGTTGAGCTAATAATAAAAATATTTTTAGCGGGTTTTTTTCGAGAACAGTGACACTTTACTATGGAAGTTTATAAATTAAGAAGATGATTATCACTTATAAAGGTATATCCTAACATATAATTCATTTAGTAGCTAAAATTTATCTTGTGATATTAATTAAGTATAATATTTACAAATAATTCAAATAATTGCTAAAAGTTTCACAATTCACTTGGGCCGCAGACCCAGAGAAAAAAACATCGATAAAGTTAGTGTATCTTCAGAAATTTGATCCTTCAACGTTAGGGCCATTAGATAAGAATACAGAGGGCCAATTAATAATGACAAGACTCTCAGCTCAGTGGACGTGTTAATGGGAGATATACAGTTAATAGTGATTTACTAGCTGATAAGCCCTTACTGAGATTCAGCAGGCTGGGAGGGTTTATGCGTAGGACTGAGTTAGTAAACAGTACACAGATTTTTTAAGTAAAACATTTTCACAGAATGCGGAAGATTTTTAATAATGTTAACACTTTAATTTATATCTTTATCGTTTTGTCTCATAAGAGATTTGTCCATAATTAAGTTAATATGTACCTGGTTTATTTTTATTTATTTTTCAACTTTCTTCGGAAAATGTTAAGAAATAATTTGTGTGTCATCTGTTGTCTAGTGCATGTTTATGTAAATATATTTCCGCATTAATCAACAACAGAGACATAAACGATTTATTGACAAGTATAAAAGCTTCAATAAAACCCGTTTTGATGGAAAAGAACGTCCAAATGTTCGAGAAATAGGACCAAAAGATCAAAATGATTTTGATGGAGAGGTAGATTTTAGGACAGAGCTTGAAGACCTATTTAAATGGCTGTTCATGTCAATCCCTAAGTAAGTTGAAAAATAAGTCATTATTGTAATTTAATTTATACATATTTCAGTATTTTCTAGATAATTATGTTCAAATACGAATTGGGATGTTAGTGTTTTCAGATAAGAAGTAATTGAGCACAAATTACACGTAAGAAAATTGTACAAATTGACACCATTATCTTCTCCGTCTGTCCGCTATCTTGCCCATCGTTTCGTATTAAATATCATTGGCATTTCTGGCCTTTCCCACCTTTCAGAACGGCGTTAAATAGCGCAGGAATTCGAAGGAAACAACGCTGTCTTCCTCCAAAGATGGCGTCCTATAAAGACATATATTCCAACTCATGTTGTTAAAATACCTATAGCAAGAAACTACAAAGTCAGAATGAAAGAAATGATTGACATTTTCCGGAAAAGTTGATTACTGATCGTGGTTCAACCCATTAGCTACTTTTTAGCTCGACTATTCGATAAGAATAAGTAGAGCTATTGTAGTCACCCGAGCGTCGGCGTCGGCGTCTGCGTCCGCGTCCGCGTCCGCGTAACCACTTATGTTAAAATATTTTCAAAGTCCATTGACATATGGCTTTGGAACTTTGCACACTTGTTCACCATCATGACCCCAACCTGTAGACAGGAGGAGGTAACTCTATCAAGCATTTTGACAGAATTATGCCCCTTTTCGACTTAGAATTTACGTTAAAGTTTTTGTAATACCTCAAATATTTTCAAAGTTCATTGACATAAAGCTTTGAAACATGTTGAAATTTTATACTATTCTTTGAGAGCATAATAGGACTCTCTTCAAGGCCTATAACTGTAATATGGATATAAAGAAAAAAAATGTCTTTTTCTTTACTGAGAAAATTTTACCTTTTAATCAAGGCTTTTTTACTATCAAGCACTAAGAATAGTCGAGCGTTGCTGTCCTACCGACAGCTCTTGTTTTGTAAATAATTTGACAAAATGCAGTTACAGTTATACATGTGTAAACAAAGAGCATGTTATATGTTTAAAACAAAAGACAATTCCTGAGATATATATTTTGCATTTGAACAGACGGGAGAGGGCTGAACTAGGCCACAATATAACAGACATGCTGATTAGCTGTACATTTAATGGGAGGACGTGCTCTTCAAAGTAAGACCTGTTAGAAGTTATCACATTTTCTTATCGTAACCTTTTTATGTTGTATTTTAAAATGGATAGTACAGAAACTTTAATTTTTTTCTAGTTCAAAAGTTGGTAAATTGAAGCTACCAACCATGTGTTGTTTCTATGCGATCTTACTGATGTACTATTGTAAATATGAAATAAAAATCAAAGATATGGAATAAAAAAAACAAAGAATATAAAATGAGATATATTCCACATATTCAGTGTTTGAAAGTAAAAGATGAATATAACTCAGCTATATAGTTTTGTACTATGACGTCACATCTGTCTTTATATACCGCTCGGGAGAAATGACAAAGTGGACTTTGTTGACATGTAGTCAATCAAAATGATATGTTCGCAACTTAACGTGATAATTATTCTTAAATCTTAAGGGAAACCAATATATAATATAACCAATTTATATATTTATTTTGGTAACATTTAATATATGGAGAGCTATTCCCCCGCCAAGGCGTCTGCTTACGCTTCCAGATATCCGACTAAAATTATTGTCCATTCTTATTCAATGGATTTACTTCAAACTTTAAAGCAGCATGCCTTCATGCTAATTTTCATGATTTTTTAAAATGTTTTTTAAAAAATGAAATATTGTCTAGAGAACAAAAAAAAAATTACACATTGCACATAAAAGAATGCAACACAAGCGAAATTAGGTCAGGATGTGCAAATATAGCCCTTACTGCTTTAGTTTTGCAGTAGAAATATGGTTATAAATACTGCAAAATGAGTGGTATACATATAACATTTAAAATAATTCTTGAATTTTAAAGATTCTTAAAATCTTAGCACATTTCCTCAAGGTTGATTTTCTTGAAATATTTTGGTTGACCTGGAGGCATGACGCTTTACATATATAGTCCTTATCATCTTCAAATATTATTTAGTAAAGCGACACTATTAAAAACCTGCACCCCTTTTAAACTTAGAAATTACATGTACTTTAATTTACTTAAATTTATCTTAATCATTTTTTTCTTAAACTTGTTTTACTTCTCAGCCTTTAAATACATGTCCCTTGTTGTCGCTCACATTATGTATGTGAAGGTTAATAACTCTTGTACCATTAAAACTATTACTTGAAATAGTTATTTTTAACTGTTGTCTCACACTTGAAACAGTTTTTCCGTATCAACTCTTCTGTCTTGTATGATAAGGTTCATAGCTTTAGCATCTTTATTTCAAGAGTTCTTACCTCTTTAAAGTTTGTATTACTTTACTTATAAAGTATAATTCGAATGCTTATTATCTGTGTTACTAAAGTGATTTAGGCCGCTATTCCATTTATACGTGATCAGTGGTCCGCGTTCGTCATCCGCGTCGTTCATAGCTTTAGCATCTTTATTTCAAGAGTTCTTACCTCTTTGAAGTTTGTATTACTTTACTTATAAAGTATAATTCGAATGCTTATTATCTGTGTTAGGCCGTTATTCCATTTATACGTGATCAGTGGTCCGCGTCAGTGATCCGTGTCCGGGCATGTCCGTGGGTATTATTCCATATGTACGTTATTTTCTATATACTTTTAATTGAAGTATATCGAACAGAGGATAATTATTTGTAGAATATGTTATAATTTCATTCTAATACCAAAAACTGTTGTAACATCAAATAATTAGGTAACAAACATTGAATATCAGTTAGGTTTTCAAATAACATCTCTTTAGCAACCGATGACCAGATGTTGTTTTTTTTAATCTGTCATTGCTGCATCATAAACTTATATGTTCTCCTACACTATTTTGGTGACTTCTTTAGTATTTTCTTTCGAAATCAATAAAGTATTTAATTTCGTTCGAGGCCTTTTGTAGGGATGAGACATGTCAGTGACTGTCCGCGTCCGTAAAAAATCGCTCATCCTGCGAAACGTCGCGGATGCCGTCGCGGAAGCGGATGGTAAACGGACAAAAGGAATAGATTCAACGTATTCTTTGATAAGCGAATCGGTAACGGATGCGGATGACGGACGCGGACCACTGATCACGTATAAATGGAATAGCGGCCTTACTAAAGTGATTTAGGCCGCTATTCTATTTATACGTGATCAGTGGTCCGCGTCCGTCATCCGCATCCGTGATTTAGGCCGCTATTCTATTTATACGTGATCAGTGGTCCGCGTCCGTCATCCGCATCCGTTACCGATTCGCTAATCAAAGAATACGTTGAATCTATTCCTTTTGTCCGTTTACCATCCGCTTCCGCGACGGCATCCGCGACGTTTCGCAGGATGAACGATTTTTTACGGACGCGGACAGTCACTGACATGTCTCATCCCTACAAAAGGCCTCGAACGAAATTAAATACTTTATCAATTTCGAAAGAAAATACTAAAGAGCTCACCAAAATAGTGTAGGAGAACCTATAAGTTAATGATGCAGCAATGACAGATTAAAAATAACAACATCTGGTCTTCGGTTGCTCAAGAGATGTTATTTGAAAACCTAACTGATATTCAATGTTTGTTACATAATTCTTTGATGTTACAACTGTTTTTGGTATTAGAACGAAATTATATCATATTCTACAAATAATTATCCTCTGTTCGCTATACTTCAATTAAAAGTATATAGAAAATAACGTACCTATGGAATAATACCCACGGACATGCCCGGACACGGATCACTGACGCGGGTCACGGATCACGTACTAATGGAATAGCGGCCTTACTCTAGACTTCAGAGTGTTGTTTGTTTTCATTTTTGTTGATATTTCATATTTTCGTTTCATCGACTTACATGTCATGCGGTGCGTGAAATTAGTAATTTTAGTTTTTACTTATTAACATATACAGAGACATTTAAAACTTTTTTCCAGGATGTTTAAACTACATCAGACAACAGAATATGGTAATTGCTGGTCAATCAGTTCTGACAAATTTAAAGTGAAACACCCAGGACCATCTGGAGGTAACTTTGATTCAAAAAGAAATATCATTAATTCTTGCTTATAATAAAATTAGACATTGTCAACTGAGTATAAAATTTGGCTGTTTCCTTGCGAGACTGACGGTAAAATGTGGCCAGAAATGTAAACGAGAACGTGCTAGCGATATATTTAAGAGTGACTATTGAAAGAATGGTGGTGCGTCGGTGTCGGCCTTATACTTGCTTTACACGTGCATTCGTATCTCACGAACCACTTAATATCTTTAAGTTCACATTCCAAGACTCATGACTCTAGCATGGATTATGACACAATAATCACTCATTGACTTATTTAACTTACAAACTCTTAGAGTTTTGCGTCTAAGGTCCATCTCTACCACTACTGGATGTATTCACATGAAACTTCAAAGATGTGTTCTGGATTTCACTTATAGATTATTATCTACTAAGTCCACATACTATGTCATTGATTTGTGTTGATTTGTAGCCCTTTATAGGCTTGAAAATTTCTTAAAATGCGGGATTAATCTTGACATCTATCGAAGGTATTCATGCGAATTTAATAGATGAAAGTCGTTGTCCAACATACTGTACTCTGATATAGAACCCAAGTGTATTATAGCCTTAGCCTTTTTATCATTTAACAATATCTTGGTTAAAGTACATTTGTATTGTGCGGAAGATTTACTTCATAACTGCAAAAATACTCTTTTAAAATCTCACACTTGTCTTCAAAAATAGTAATTGTTGGTTCATTTCCAAAAACCTTATACGAGTATATATTTGTCATGGATTTCGAGTGACATTTTACAATTTGTCAACTGCTTTCATTGTCTTACTAGCAGCTCATATGCTATTAAATTATGTCATACTTAGGATGACGTTTATGTCAGTGATAATTATAAATAATTATGGGTTAGTTATAACGTATAATATAGAAATTATTTGTATAACAACTTTCAACTGATCTTATAACTAACGGAAGGGGCGAACATATTTATAAAGATCAAGGAACAGTTTCTTACCTATTCAAGGAAATATTTTTTTCTGAACCTAAATAGATACAAAAGTAAGTCTTTTTTTCGAAATTCGTTGCCCGATTTCCACATATTGAAACAAAGTTGCTGTCAAGTAATCGAAACAAACATTTTATGCCAGTAACTACTAAAGTGATAATATTTACTTTTCAGGGCTATCTTTGGTGTTATATTTAGAGGTTGCAGATTATCTTAAAGGTCTGACAACAGGGCACGGTGCTAGAATTCAGATTCAAGAGCAACGTACATATCCTTTTCCAACAGAAGAAGGACTGTTTATTCCAGCTTCCATGGAGACAAATATTGGACTAAAAATGGTAATTTAGATATTTTAAGCGGGTCTACTAGTATTTTCATAACTGCCCTCTTTCTACTAAAAACTTGTCCGTTTGAGGAAAAGTTTTAAATATAGTCATTTGAAGAAAATTTACACTAACTAATAGCATCATTCTTTTTACTACATAACAAGTCTTTTTCTATGATGTAATTTCAATGTCTTCCATATCTGAACAGCAAACGCCATTCGGTCCATTTCCGTGCAGCATATCCAATCGCAACTTCTCGGTACTTTCCGTCAATCTTCGGATAAGGACTTGTTATGAATATTCGCCGACTGGCAGCATATCTTTTCATTAAAAATACAATTGCAAGTCACTGGTCATTTTATTGTTCAGATATCTATTTCAAGACAAGGAGGTCTCTATGGCGACTGTAACGATGGAAAGGTTCTGGAAAAATCCTCAACGTACAAATATACAAGATCGGTATGAAATACTATCTTATTTCTTCAGATTAAACATTGTTTATTGAAGCTCGATTGTGAAATTAAACTTTTTTTGGTTATAACACACTTTAATCAGCTACCTGGATCTAAAAGACTCTGGTTTGATATGAAAAATGATTGTGACCTGAGTAGGGCCCGAACGGAACTAATTAAGAGACTGTAACTGCTATGCCACCGTTTCTTTCAATAATATTTAAAACATTTGTACCTGATTCATAGGTTACTGATTTATAAGTGATTTAGCTGATCACAAACAACTTGTCGGTAAATGATTTTGGAAGCGTTCATGTGACTATAATTGTGCAGCTCTCGGTCACAAAGACGCTTTAATATAGTGATGAGACATAGTAGTTGACAAAACATTTCTCAAACTTAGGATGTTTGTTCGACCTATAAGAAGAAAACTGCAGATTAAAGCATGCTGTCTAAGAACAAATATTTTATGTATCAAAACAGAAGTTGCTGTATTTGCTACGTTTTTTTATTTTGTATCGGAAAACCTTTGTTATATTAAATCAAGTTGTTTTGATTGTCTTAATAATGAATTAAACTTAAATTATAATATTTTCTAGGCATGTCAATCACTATGTCTGACTGACAAAATAATGGAAATGTGTCGCTGTTACGACGAAAGGTTTGAGGAATTGGCGATGAGTAAAAGTAACGTACTTAAATCATGCCGAAATCATACTGGCAAGTATAATTATAATACCGCTGTTTTATTTGAATCTGCATTTACTTAATAACGTCTTTTCCAAATGAAATTCAATACATCAAAACACAATAAAAATATCTTCTGGTGAAATGTGTTAATTATAAATATAAGTAAAAAATGGTTAATTAAATTATCTCATTTATGTTTCAGAAATAAAGTGTATGGCAGAATTAAAACGAGATTTTGTTATGAATGAAATTCATTGTACTTGTTTCAACCCTTGTAGGTAAGTTTCAAAATTGCACTTTAAGTCATATTTTTTTAGTTATTGAATGTAATCTGTAAAGCACAATTTAACTGCGAGTAAAATATAAGAAATACAAATGCACATGTCGGATCATTTTAACACATTCAATTATAGATAAACGTGAACTTACGCATCAGTCAACATTTACATTCTCGACCCCGGGGAACAGATCGTAAATTTGACTTGCACAGTATTAAAATCTTTGTTAAACACCCCAACCACAGTTCTCTTTGGGAGCGGTCAGATAGTAAAAATCTGCTAAATTTCCTCAAACTGAAAGTTTGACTAATCCCTCGCTATTTTAGCACAAAAACAAAACAAACAAAAACGCCATATTGACTCGGCAGTGCGGGGACAGAAAAAAAACGTTCAATTCCCTACTATCCCCTACACTAGCCAGGAGATGGGGGAAATATTCGTTAATACGTCAGAAAAACAATCCAAAATAAAAACATGAAATGATCAATGTTTTTGACTGTACAATATCCATTAAGGTTTCGTATGTCGCTTAACTCGTCTCATCCAGAAAAAAAGAACATTTAGCAATAATTCCGCGTGTAAATGTTAGGGCACTTAGGTTGTTGTAGAACGATACTAGAACATCCTGTCTTTATTGAAAGTTCATTTCAATATTTACAGTGAAGTTCAATACGCCAAAAGTGTAAGTCAAAGACAATGGCCAGACGAAGATTATGCGGTAAGATATTGTTTTTTTTATAACAGCTTTTAACCCTAAAGTTCCGTAATGAATGCAAAGGGAAACGCAATTGTTTCCCATTAACAATACAATACTTTTCTGAACGAGGGAAGCCTTTCTTCTTTAAGCTTTTCAATTTTTATTGAACTAAAATGAATAGGTCCAAATCTGAAGAAGAGAGGTTTGGCTGTGTTTGAGTTATTCGATCATTGTTGAAGCCATCTTTTATTAACATTGTTATCATTCGGTGTTATATATAGTGGAAATGAATGCATAAAATTAACACTCTGTGTTTTGCACTAATATTTTAGTGCCATATCATTACTCCACTTTCCACTGATTATTTTGTTACATTTTAATGCAAAGTACTGAATAACACATACCAAGTAATGATGTAAGACGTTTGCATATCAAAATATCAAATGTATGTCGTTAAAGTAGCATACTCATCAGCTGCTAAACTGAGGTAGATATTCATCACTTTTCGTGTATTGTAAACATAAAAAAAGCGTTGGGTACCATACTGATTTTTAAATAGACACGGAAAGTGGCGAAGTTGCCGGAATATGGCGAATTTCGACGAAGACATATAAACTATTATTGACTTTGAGTTTCTTTTCAGATGGTTTTGCTACAAGCAATTTGCGACAAAGATTCGGATGAATGTGCATTATTGAGAGGGCTCATTGATGAACCAGCAAAACTGAAGTAAACATCTAATAATTTATATCATGTATATAGTGATGGCAAGAATATATATTTAATCAAATTTTAGATATTAAAACACCACATTTCGAACAAACATGATGGGGCTTATGCCATGACCATTTGGTTTGTGTCGTCGTTCTGGTTCATTTCTCAGAAAGTTAAACAAGGCTCTTTTCTTCAATTTCGGCACGAATATTCAATATAAAAATGTTACACCATATCTAAAGCGTATATAACACTGAAAGTAAGTTTTTCAGCTTTGTTCCTTTTTGTGCTTAGAAGTTTTGGCCGATTTGTTTAAGTCCATTTCTTAAATCTATTTAAAAAATTTTAAACTGCAAACTTTTTTCACTATCAAACATTGGCAATAATTTCAAAAGAGCAAGTAACGATTGAAGTCATTTTGCTTGGATATTGTCGCTTTTTCGATTTAAAACATCTATGTAAACCTGTTCGTTAAGGAATTATTCTCAAAAACTATCTAACATTATCACTTGAAATACAAGTTCGCTTTTAAAGAATGTGTGTGTTTCAAAGGACCGATAATACTGTAGGCCATTTTCCCATTTTCACAAAAGGCTCAAACATATTCATACTTATTTATTCACTAACAAGATTCGCATTCATATAATAAAACATTTTTGTCCCTTTTAAAAACTTTAACCCCAAAAAGATGTTTCTTTTTGCTCTTTTTTTCCCCCTTGGGAACATTTTTTTTTTTTTTAAAATTTAATTTTCAAAAAACGTTTGATAAACTCTACTGAACCCTGCTCAAAACTCGAAGTAATGGCAGTGACAACCAAACACCCCTCCCCTTCCCCCCTTTAAAGGGGGATAGGTAATGCAAAAAACCCCCCACTTTTTAAGAGTTTAAAAATAGGGAAAAACCCCTGGCACCTTAAAGGCACAAATTTTCCCCCGATAAAAGAAAAAAATTTTAACTTTTTAAAAAAGGCCACAAAAATTTTTTAAAATTGGAAATAATAATTTTAAAAACAATTTTTAAAATGCCTTTTAAAACCCGAAAGAAAAAAAGAAGGTCTTTAATTTGGGAAAAAATTTTTTTCATAAAAAAATAAGCAAAATGTAAACCCAAAAAGTAAAATTTTTGGTTTCAAACAAAAATACCCCCAAAAACTAAAAAAATACTAAGCCCAAAAACAAAAAGAAAAAAAATGATGGTTTTTAAAGGTTTTTTGGAAAATATTGACTTTTTTAAAAAAATTTTTAAAAAAAACAACCAAAAAATGAAAAAAATTTTTTGAAAAAATGAAACCAAAAAATTTAAAGGGGGTTTTTGGGCCTTTGAAAATAAAAAAAAATACCAAAAAAGCTTTTTTTTAAAATTGTTTTAAATTTCCCTTTTTTTAAACCCGAACATGAAAATAATTTTGTTGGAAGGGTTTTAAAATGTACATTTTTAATTTTTATTTAAAAACTCTTGAAGCTTAAATAATTTTTATAAAGAAGATTCCGAACTATGAAGGGAAACTCAAACCAAAAAGTTTAAAATAAGGGAATGATAAACTCTTCCCTTTATTTCCCTATTTCAACTCATTGTTTAATGCCAAATTTTTTATGGTTTTGAAGGAAAAAAAGTAAAGCCCCAACTTTTATAAATTTTAAAATATACATCTCCCAAATTTTTAAATTTTTAAAAAAATTTATAATTGGGTAAAAAAAACAAATTTTTTTTGTGAAATATAAAAAGCAAAATTTAAACTTCACAAAAGTAGAAAATATTTTTCCCTTTATTTCTACAAAAATTTCTGTAGGGAAATTTCAAAAATGAAAATACAATTTTCATTAAAAAAATGGGGAAATTTTTTTTTTAAAAAAAAAACAATTTAAATTGATAATAGGGCCCGTAGTGGGGCACCCCAAAAAACATTTAAAATTTTTTCATTTTTTTATTTTTAAATTTGGAAAAATAAACGGGAAAAAAATTTCATAGATTTTAAACAAATTTTAGAAAAAAAAAATTTTAAAGCAAGGGTGAAACATAGTTTTTTTTTAAAAGGGAAAATTTATAAAAAAACTTTAAAAAATATCTCGTATATACCTTTCAAAATGTTCAGTGCAATTTTGTTGTCATTTGGCGATTGATTTTAACAAACACAGAAGTCACAAAAATTTTGTAACGTTTTGCTACATTCTTGCGGAAAAAGAACAAAAGACACTTTGTTTTTGATAATTTAAAAAAAAAAACAACAAAAAGAAACAACAACAACAACAAACAGGCACAATTCTAGAAATATGACGCAAATGTTTTTGTTTTCTTTTATAATGTCTTTAATGAAGAAACCGGAACTATGTCACCATAAGTACTGCGTCATCATTAGCCTGGTTCCCCGCCTACATTACTTCGATTAGTACAGGGTCCGTACAGTCTGGATAGTCTGGTTCCCGTCGTACTATAAAATTTAGTATTGAACGGAGAGAAAAGGGCAGGTAATCCAGACTACAGTCTGTACACTTTATTTGGTAACTCTCTTAATAATGCTTAAAAAGTGCCTAATTTTTTTGAATATGTGCTTGAACAGGATGACAGAGTAAATGGTGAATTTTTCACCTGTACAAAATCAATACATATTTTTTAATTTTCTTATTAGATACAGCAGTTTCTATCTGACGTGGGCGGAGCTATAGGCTTATGGATAGGTTGTCAATACTGAGTCTTTGTGAACTTGTTCAACTTTTTGTTGAGCTTATGTGACTAGGTATTAATAAAAACAATTAAAGAAAAAAGAAAAGGAAGAAGACAACGTCGTAAGGATAGAACATAACCTTGCCATCCACTTCCGCCAATAGTACTTCATTAAAACATGAACATAAAATCTGCCAGAGAAACATTGTTTAAACAATGAGTTCGGAGAAACTACCTGACTACGATTTGTCAAAAAGCTCAGCGGAAAATTCGCATCCATGAAATATCTATACACCGGAAGTGACGTTTAAAGACTTTGACAGTATTATAACATAAGACACTAATATTATAATGTTGATGTATCTCAGACTTTTATGTTTTTGTTAAATGAAATTGAATCTGTCTGTTTAAATCTATTTTTAGATTGACTCTTTTCTAGAAACACGATTTTCAAAAAAAAAAGAATTATTAAATTCATTGAAAACAAGTTATCTGTCAATATATGTATTAAAGACTAAGATACACGTCAGAATGAAAGACAGGCCGAAACCCTTGGGACCATAATGAAAAGGCTTATCAGTGTTACGGTGTAATTTTCGAAGATTAAATTGCCAATATATTTATTTTGAAACTATATAGTATGGTTTTTTAGCTACAGTCTCACTTACATCCCGGCAGAGCCCCGGTAGACGTCCGGGGTATCCGGGAACGACCGGGGTACGACCGGGAACAACCGGGGTACATCCGTAACTCTACAAGGCGACGTCCTGAATGATCCGGGAACATCCGGCATTCGACCACGGATGGAATTTTTTTTTGATATCACCGGGATGATCCGGGAAGTATAGCTTTGCCGGCTTCATCCTTAGCTCTGCCGGGAACGACCAGGATACACAGGAGAAGCACCCGTAGCTCTGTCAGGCACAAAGGCGGCGGGGATGACCGGGGTATGCTATAGCCGGTAGAGCTACGGTAGAGCCCCGGTGAATGCTGGCAGAGCCCCCGGTGAATGCGGCACGAGCCCTGGAGAGATGCCGGCAGAGCCCGGAGATGACGATGGAGCTACGGTTTATCTCCCGGAAGAGCCCCGGCAAAGCCCGGTTCATTTCAAAAAGAATCACGACAATTTGCGAAATTGCAAGTCCATGAAAGTTGGCACAGAGATTCGACATTAAACATTCAGCTCGACATTCGACTTATCACTGTTGAGCTGGTATGGGAAACTGGCTAGACATTCAGCAGAACATCAGCTCGACATTCGATTTATCACTGTTGAGCTGGGATGTGAAGCTAGCTAGACATTCAGCAGAACATTCAGCTCGACATTTCGTTTCTTATATTCTTTTTGAATGTCGAGCTGGGATGTGAAGCTGGCTAGACATTCAGCACAACATTCAGCTCGACATTCATTCTCTTTCTATTTTTGAATGTTGAGCTGGGATGTGAAGCTGGCTAGACATTCAGAACAACATTCAGCTCGACATTCGTTTTTAGTCTATTTTTGAATGTTCGAGCTGGGATGTGAAGCTGGCTAGACATTCAGCACAACATTCAGCTCGACATTCGTTTTTTCTATTTTTGAATGTTGAGCTGGGATGTGAAGCTGGCTAGACATTCAGCACAACAATTCAGCCTCGACATTCGTTTTTTTCTATTTTGAATGTTGAGCTGGAGGTGAAGCTGGCTAGACATTCAGCACAACATTCAGCTCGACATTCTTTTTTTTCTATTTTTGAATGTTGAGCTGGGATGTGATGCTGGCTAGACATTCAGCACAACATTCAGCTCGACATTTGTTTTTTTGTCAATTTTTGAATGTCGAGCTGGATGTGAAGCTGGCTTGACATTCAGCACAACATTCAAGCTCGACATTCATTTTCTTTCTATTTTTGAACGTTGAGCTGGGATGTGAAGCTGGCTAGACATTCAGCACAGCATTCAGCTCGACATTCGTTTTTAGTCTATTTTTGAATGTCGAGCTGGAATGTGAAGCTGGCTAGACATTCAGCACAACATTCAGCTCGACATTCGTTTTTTTCTATTTTTGAATGTTGAGCTGGGGATGGTGAAGCTGGCTAGACATTCAGCACAACATTTAGCTCGACATTCGTTTTTTTTCTATTTTGAATGTTGAGCTGGGATGTGAAGCTGGCTAGACATTCAGCACAACAATTCCAGCTCGACATTCGTTTTCTTTTTCTATTTTCAATGTTGAGCTGGGATGTGATGCTGGCTAGACATTCAGTCACAACATTCAGCTCGACATTTTTTTTTTGTCATTTTTGAATGTTTGAGCTGGATGTGAAGCTGGCTAGACATTCAGCACAACATTCAGCTCGACATTCATTCTTTTCTATTTTTGAATGTTGAGCTGGGATGTGAAACTGGCTAGACATTCAGCACAACATTCAGCTCGACATTCGTTTTTAGTCTATTTTGAATGTCGAGCTGAGATGTGAAGCTGGCTAGACATTCAGCACAACATTCAGCTCGACATTCATTCTCTTTCTATTTTTGAATGTTGAGCTGGGGTGTGAAGCTGGCTAGACATTCAGCACAACATTCAGCTCGACATTCGTTTTTAGTCTATTTTTGAATGTCGAGCAGGGATGTGAAGCTGGCTAGACATTCAACACAACATTCAGCTCGACATTCGTTTTTTTTCTATTTTTAATGTTGAGCAGGGATGTGAAGCTGGCTAGACATTCAACACAACATTCAGCTCGACATTCGTTTTTTTTCTATTTTTGAATGTTGAGCTGGGATGTGAAGCTGGCTAGACATTCAGCACAACATTCAGCTCGACATTCGTTTTTTTTTCTATTTTGAATGTTGAGCTGGATGTGATGCTGGCTAGACATTCAGCACAACATTCAGCTCGACATTTCTTTTTTGTCAATTTTTGAATGTCGAGCTGGGATGTGAAGCTGGCTAGACATTCAGCACAACATTCAGCTCGACATTCATTTCTTTTTCTATTTTTGAATGT